AAAACAGACACATTGCACAACTGCATTTGTTGGATATCTATTTCTATTGATCGACCCTTCCTGCCTGGTTCGAGATGGCGGTAAATGTGACACAGATGCGGGACACAAAGTGGCTGACGTTGGAGGTTTGTCGAGAATTCCAGAGAGGAACCTGTTCACGACCGGACAGTGAGTGCAAGTTCGCCCACCCTGCCAAGAGCTGTCAAGTAGAAAACGGCAGAGTCATTGCCTGTTTTGACTCACTCAAGGTGAGTACGACAAACACTAATAACGTCCATTCATCACAGCCTTGTCTTTTCTCAATTTCCTAGCATGCAGCGTTGACAATAAATTGTTTTCAGTAGTTCTATTTTGGGGTTTTGCAGATGCCAGAATGTGTTAGACCGAAAGAGGAGGTGGAGTAGGAAAACAGTAGTAGTATGTAAAAAAAAAAAAAAATGCAATGTAATAGTAAATTTAGTGAAAAGTGAGATATTGTTTCTTTATCCATACACGTTTATGCCATGGGATAGGGATGAAAACATGCACATATAAAAACTGGGTGTATGTGTCTTGGTAAGCTGAGATGGGACAGCAATCGCAATAACATCTGTGATTCAGAGTCAGAGTTTCCTTCACTGGCACATCAATTGAGTACAGGACTCTCAGTTGGCACGGAGGTTTTCTGTCTGATCGTCACTTCAACAGGCTGAATAGGAAATATAGAAATTGGGCAACACACTGTGTATTCTATAATTGTACGTAATCTTGCTAGTGTATGTCGGTGTGTGTTATTTTGAGGTCATGCCACACAGTGGGGTGTTCTCAGAAGGCTCTGTAATTTACTGTCTATTTTTGCCCTGGCACTGGGACAACACACTCCCACCAGGCAGCTCTTTTCTCACTCTCTCCCTCGATCCCTAAGAGACAGAAAATCAAACAAGGGAACAAAAAAAAAGAGAAAGGAAAAATAAAGGGACAGAATCTAAAAGTTGGGAAATGTTGTGGCATCCCATATGGACATTATAATATACACGTGTCAATAATGGGCAAGATGTTTGTGTCATTTTGTCACGCTAGGTGTCATCCGACACTGTCTCTTACAAATTCAATATACAGTATAGGGTTGCCAGAAACTGACCATGATCAAAATCGATTATTCGGCAGCCCTGGCGAATAATAATCAATTAATACAAGTTTACAGTAAAACAAACTGGTGGTGTGACCAATGGCCATTTACAATTGTTAATACTATTACTATTATTAGCATTAGTCTATATTTTGGTTGAAACTAAGCCAGAAAAAAAAAAAAAAAAAAAAACATAAATAATAATAAAAAAATATATAAATAAAATCGATTTTTAAAAATAATATTCGATTATGGAGACTGTAATGATTAATCGAATAATGGAATAATCGCTGGCATCCCTAATACAGTATGCTACAGTACAACATACACACGAGACTGGTGTTTGTGTCATCAATGAGTATTTCGTATGGAGTCAGATTTGGGTCAATATTCTAGCGCGCAAAACAAGCTACTCACGAGCGGAAAATGTGCTTTTACACACGCATTAATGACCCTCGCGCGCAGATTAAACCCCTGCGTTAATTAATATATATAATATATATATTATATATATATATTATATATATATATATATATATATATATTAGCTGTACACTTTACGAATATAATAGTTTTGTTTGGACAACTTTACCATTCAATCTCGTCCAACTGATCTTGCAGCTGTCACTCCTCGGCTCTTCGTAGTTCAGGCATTTATCAAACCTGGCAACTCCGGGGTTCCTGGCAGCTATCAATCAAAGTCCAGTGGCTCCGCCGCAAAGTGTCAGAAACTTTTCACGCGCGCGTAGACAGACTCCGCGAGCGAGTGACCCCCAGTTTCCACTGGGTCCGTCTGCGCCGCGTAACGGCTGCGCCAAGGTTTTGGTCCGACCTCCTCTAGCGCCATAACCCACCGGACGCGTCCCAGAAGCGTTTCAGGAGCGTAGCGTCGTGCGTGCAGGCTCGCAGTTTTGTTATTGATTCGGGCATCCTGGACATTTGTACTTCTACAAGAAAGTAAGTAGGCTAGGCTACGTAGTTAAATGTTTTATTTTTGTGTCTGTTTAAATTGTGTTTATTGTTGTTATACATTTCCTAATATGTAGTTGTTACCTTCCACTCCACAAACTGCAGCGACTAAAACCAGGCCTTGTCCTTTCTGATGTTGTCCTTGTAGTAAGCATTGGTTACATCATATAAAATAGTGTGTTTTTCCACTTCCATGATGAAAACCTCGTCGTCCATTGTGCGTATCGTAGTGGAGGTGTTGTGATGAAGGAGGGGGGTCTGCTAAATTAGTATATGTGGGAGATGGGCCTGGCCCGGATGCTCACCTTTCCACTTCCTGCGAGGGGGGGCTGCCTGCCCGACCTTATGTTACGGCTGCGCCGCGGCAAAAACAGGATTCATCCTAATTTTAGAGAAGCGCTGCGCCGAGCCGCTTCTGGGACGCGTCTGAGCCTTAACGCGGCGCGTGTGGAGGAATAGCACCCATTGACTAGAGTGGCCGCGAGTAACGCGGACGCTGCGGCGCAGCCGCAACGCGGCCGTAACACGCCGCAGACGGACCCGGTGGAAACTAGGGGTGAGGCTGACACTCCCGCGAGAGCGCATAGCCGCTCGCGGGGGTTTAATCTGTGCGCGAGAGTCATTTTATGCACGTGTAAAAGCACATTTTCCGCTCGTGAGTAGCTTGTTTTACGCGCTAGAATATTGACCCAAATCTGACTCCATAACTTTGCTTTTAGAGACAAAATCAAGAATTAATGAAGGTTTGTGGTTTAACACTAGAACCGCCAGAGATTATTTTATACCTAAAACCGACACCGGGGTCAAATTGACCCGGTATTAGAATGCATTGATTTTCAAGGTAAAAGTATTGCTTTAAAAAGAAAAATGGTCTTGTGGTATTGGTATTTTGACAAGCAATTATGTTAAATTGTTTCGTTTATTAACGCTACAACATAGCGTTTCGTGAGGCGGTTGTCGTTGTTGGGTGAAAAGCGCAGCGCGAGCAGTCTCCCGTGAGCGGGAGCGCGCTCCTTCACTACAGAAAGATCTGCAGCCACGCTAGCAGTTTGTGAGGCTGTATAATGTACGTAGTTTTCACTTAAAGATAAACATATGTGCTAATGAGATCCAAAAACAAAGTACAGCTCATATTCTCAGCCATAAACAGACTGTCCACAGTTTACAGTACTGATTCTCTGTGAAAATACATCTGCTCACACTTCATTTACTAGAGCAGTAGAAGACAGTGTAAAGGGTCAGCTGTGGCAGCATGTGTCATGGCTGAGAGCCAAACATAAACCCTGGCCTCCTGTAATATAGTTTATGAAGACAAGTATATGTGTATACAAGTCACACGCAGATAAATTGCACACATGGCATTCTAACACACTCACACTGCTGCATGTCAGCCTGCTGCCTCATTATTCCAGATAATGGAAATGTGTTGGATCGAGTAATATCAGTAAAGTCAATCTCAGTATTTTGGCTCAACTAAGCACAATGATTCTGAATCCTTAAAGTATGTCTACTGTGCTGTGCACATGCTCTGTAATTTGTCTTATATCTGATTGGCAAGCAGGGTGTTATTCTCTGTAACTGGAGACAAGAGTTGGAAGTCAGTCGAGCCCATCCAGATCCCAGCCTACCTTGTTTTAAAACAGTGGGGAGATTTACTGATAATCCAGGCATTGTGTTATTACAGTTCTGGGATGCTTGGATGCAGCTCCGATGGCTTGGGTGGGTTTGGTTGGGAAAGGTAAGGTAGGAATAGGAACGGGAGGCTGCAAGGGCACCACATGGATCATGAAAACAGACATGCAGGCTGAGCCGAGAGGCTGAGAGCAGGAGCAGCAGGGAATGTGCGAGGAAGCGTAGCACTGTGCTTAGTGCCCTTCCCTGCTCTCCGTGCCAGGGCATTCCACAGTCTACCTCCCCTCTCTGCCTCCATGACAGAATGATATATCTGCTTTATCTGCAAATGGATTCATACACAGCTAGGCATGGAAAGAGGGGCAAGGGAATGTGGAAGGACGGATGGGAAGATTTGGAGAAAAAAAAGGAATGGATGATGGTACACGTGTCTCGCACTCACAGACCAATTTGGCATACAATCTACCGTTCATTCCTGATAAAATGCAGGCCGGCAAAAGAACTGGGGGCCAGCTGGAGAAATGGAAAGGGATATGGATACTTATCCTATTAATTCATCTTTCTCTTTGTATTCAGTTTTCCTTCTCATATTACTTTTTTTTTCATTCTAAAACCTCAGTTTTCAGTTGCCAGTTGGTCCTTATGTTTAGATATCTTTATTTATCTCTGATAAACTGTCTACACTTTAAAAAAGGTGTTTTTTATGCAGTGGAAAGATTCAATCAACGGGTGGCGAGACGAAAGAGGCAAATAGGAAATATGTCAGAAGGAGAGGTCTGGAATCCCTTCAGCATCAAAGAACATTTAGGAATCTGTCAGGGTACACAACACAACTTAGAACAAATCAATGCAGAATTTGAAGTGCTGACTCAGTAAACATTTATGACTAAAGTCAAGTTTGAAAAGGCAAAAATAAACAAAAGTTTTGGACTTGATGGACAACTGTGATTACAGAAAACAAGGAGGTGTACAATAGCTGCACTGCTCCTAGTACTAGGATGGGTTAAAAGCAGAGAACAAATTCCACTCTGTGGGCTGTGTGCTCTGCATATGTGACCATTACAGAGGGTTTCATCTCTCCGATTCTAATTGCTCGTCCTTTTGGCTCCTGACACAGGAATTCAGCAGCTTGTTGCCATTAGCAGCTGGGGATAAGGCTGTACTGTATTTCATTGTAAGAGAATAAAAAGCTTTAGGCTGACGCATTACCGGGGCCGTGGCGAGAAACAGGTGAGAGTTAGCCAAAGAGCTACATTGGATTCACCAAAAAATGTGTTTTAAATACTTAAATTGGATTGGTGAAAATCACAGGAAATTCTTATAAGCTACCTAAATTGTCCATCCATCCATCTTCTCCAGCTTATCCGTGGTCGAGTCGCGGGGGAAGCAGTTCCAGCAGAGAGCCCCAAACTTTCTTTTCCCTGGCCACATCAACCAGCTCTGACTGGGGGATCCCAAGGCGCTCCCAGGCCAGGGAAGAGATATAATCTCTCCACCTGGTCCTAGGTCTACCCCCTTGGTCTCTTCCCAGCTGGACGT